GTAATATATAATTTGTCAGTACTTTCTGGAAGTAAATTGCTCATTTTATATGCTAAGTGAAGCTTATCTTTGTATCACAAACTTTCAAAGGTACATTCTCCAAAGATTCAAGAAAACATATAAAATATGACCCTAAAATATGGAAGAAAGTATAAGAAAATGACTTGCTGATCTACAAATGAGAAAATCCTTTGAAATAAAATTTCAAAGCCACAGATTTTAAGGTGACTTTCAAAAGATACAAAAGATGATAGTAAGAATTTCTGTTAAGCAAAGAAAATTCTCAATGAAATCAAAAGGTAGGGAAAAAAATCACAAGAAGGTATATTGGTCTCTACAAGTGATAATGAAATACCTGGAAAAACAAGGACAAAAAAAAGCTCATCAGAAATATGAGAACATGACATAAACACATAATTTATAGGAGGTCTTACAGAGGAAAAGGAAAAAGAATGCCTAAAAACGAGAATAAAGGACAGAAAAAATGAAAAGAAGCAACCAAATTTCACTATGAATCTATGAAACTTGTCAAATTAGAAAAAGTCCAGGGCCTGGGATTTAGTGCAGTGGTGCCGCCACCTGTTTCACAAGCACAAGGTCCTGAATTTGATCCCCAGTACCAAAAAAAAAAAAAGTCCAGTGCTGATGGTTATGAAAACAGAAACTAGAGAGCTGTAGTGTGGACAGTGGGTATGAGTCTAAATGATACACACTCTGTGCACCAACAAAGAGGCTCCTGAGCACCCACGGGATTTTCTCAAATCTGGTTCTGGGACAGCAAGTAAGAGCATGATCCTTGTTGCATGTATATCAGTGACAGAATTAGACAAGCCTGCCCTCCCATAACTGTGGAAATGTTATGCAGACAAACAAGGGAGACCCTGTGAGGAATTACATCTACATACAGCAGTGCAAATGAATCTGGAAAATAATATTGAGTGAATTCATTAAAAGACAGTATGAACTCTCTAACACAGCACTTGGGCACTAAAAATGTATGTACAGGAGGTTGGGGTGTAGCTCATTGAGAGAGCACATGTACAGTGCTCATCAGTATCTAGGGTCTATACACAGGACAAAAAATGTACATGAAGCCATGGGATATACTCTAGCAGTGATGAGTAGGGACACAATGTGGAACAAAAACACACTTGCAACAGGTCTGTCAAGCACAGCACTAGTGATGCTTGGGGCCAAGATTTCCTTCTATTAAGAGCAATCCCATTTGTTATGTGACATTGTTCAACTACCTTGACCTCCTTCCCCAAGGTGCTACTAAATCTTTCCTATGCTCTAGGTCATAGTAACAAGGAAAAACCTGAGACACATTTTCTGAAGTGCTCAATCACTACTGCCTGAAAACCACTTACTTAGCCAGTGCAGCAGACACTTAAGCCTTTGAATAATAAGGGATGAGATGGCCAAAGACCCCACGACCTGCCAAATCTCTAACTCTGCACTCCACATCCAAGCTCAGTGACTCTCCACAAAGTATACTCTCTATCCTTGTACACTCTCTCCTTGTCCTCACCACTGGTACCCACATTTCAGATGTCACCAGTGTGAAAAGCCAAAACAGGCTCCACTACTTTATGCTGTATGATGACAGCTACAGGGAGATCCAGATAGACTAAAAGGCGCTCTGAACCGAAGCTGTGTCATAGGCCATTCCCAGTGACGTCTCCAGGATACACACATGGAAGGTCTGTCCTCAGGGTGTGGGGAAGCTAAGAGAATTCTGAAGGATTCATCCATTGTAGGCAATTGTAACTTATGAACCAAATCACAAAGGCTCATGGTTATCTCTTTTTCCAGAGAGAGATATAAATCATTGCAAAGGGGACAGCCTGGGAAATAGCACTTCTGGACAGACATGGCTTCAGCTCAGAAGTGGGATTACATGAGTGGGCAAACTGGCATAGAAAGGCAGATGTTTACCCAAGGTTAAAACAGTTAAAAGGGTTTCCAAAATCAGCATAAATTAAAACTAGGAATAGAAGTATTTTCTCTTCAGCCTTGCACATGCTTGGTGTCTTGTGTTCAAATTATTCAGGCCTCTGTCTGAAAGTCTCTATCCTATCCTTTTGTTACTGTGATACAAGCTAGACAGTATAATCAGAGTGAGGCACCTCTTAATAATAATAATAATAACAACAACAACAACAAAACAACAACCATATTTTTTTTTTTTTTGGTACCAGGGATTGAACTTGGGACCTTGTGCTTGCGAGGCAGGCGACAGAACCACTGAGCTAAATCCCTGGCCCAAAACAACCATACTAAATCAAAGCAAAGAAACAAAAAAAACCCCTGCAAAATTCAGAGTACTGTTCCCTTTTTCAAATACTACTCATATTGTTTTCCTGATTTAGTTGCTCTGGGGAACCTAATTAACACAGTTCTCAAAAAGGGAAACAATCTGATCAGTATCATGTTCTACCAGGATTTTTTGAAGAGTTGAAATCGACACACTTATATTAGAAAGGAAATATATAATGATCAAACCAAAGGAAGTTGAAAACAAAATGTGTTGAAAATGTATAGAATATGGCTGATCAAGCAAACATTACTGCTAAGCCTTGGATCCTTTAAACCTGCTCAGCACACTGGCTTGAATGGTGTTTGGGGAAATATATGTAACACAGTACAAAATTCATAATAATACTAAATATCTCTTGCACTTTACTGAATGCAGTGCACTGTACATCACTGCTTGTTCACCATTGGTTTCCTGTTGCTGACAGAGCAGTGATTCATTACTGCTGTCTACCATCCTGTGCTATACTGGACCATGTATCACTAGGGTGCAAAAAGAATAAAATAAAAAACTCAAAAGAAGATTTCCACTGGATAATTTTTCTTTTATTCTTCAGTACTGGTCATTTATCATGGAACTTAGCACATGTTAAAGAAGTTACCATTCAGTGGAGATAAATCTCAGAATTTTTTTTTTTTTGAGAGGTTCTCCCTTGGTAATTCAGCCTGGCCCTGAACTCATTATGTAGCCCAGGCTAGCCTTGAACTGGCTGAGGTCCTCCTGCTTCTGCTTCCTGAATGCTGGGATTACAGGCATGTGTCATCAAGTCCAGCCTCATCCCTGAATTTATATTTCATATTGAAAGAGGGTCTTGCTCCATTGTCCAGGCTGAGCTTGGTGTTGTAATACTCCTGTCTCAGACTCCCAAGTAAGTGAGTAAAGATGCAAACCACCATGCTTTGCTGATTTTTACTATACCCAAGCAGTGAAATCTTGCTAAAACATGATAAAGAACCTCAAACTGGCATAATGGAACATGCATGTATCCCAACAGTCACTGAGGTACAAACACTATCAAAAGATCATACCACCCTGGACAACATATTAAGACCCGATCTCAAAAATGTTTTTAAAAATTAAAAATTTTGGGCCAGGGATTTAGCCCAGTGGTACCGTGCCTGCCTCGAAAGTGCAAGGTCCTGAGTTTGATCTCGATACAAAAAAAAAAAATTTAAATTTTGGGGTACATAGCTCTGAGCAAAACTATAGAGTTCAGTTCCTGTACAATGAAGACAAGCACACCTTGAAATCTTCTGTATCCTGGGGAAATCACCTTTCCTTCTACTTCAGTAAGAGAGCCCATGCTATTTTTAAAGATACACCAAGGCCAGACAGTGTTCTAATTTCTGATTTTGCCTCATAAATGTTTAGATGAAATGATCAGTGATAACAAGACAAACGTATCTATTTTTAAATTCTCATTTCTTCAAGCCTGTGACTTTTTGCCAACGCACAGACCAAGCAAGCACACATTTCTTCCTTTGTGATTAACATAAGAACAATCTGACTTTCAGAGAAGATCTATGTTGTAGGTGCTACTATTCGCAGGCTTCATCATTCCATTCTCTTCCACCTCCTTTCCACTCTCCTTTGATCTACTCTAAGCAGAAAACCCTTCTTTGTCTAGCCATTCATGTGCTTGCATAATTTCTTTTTGGGGCTTCTCCTCTACTCTAGTGCTCCTTTTAAAGTCAGCATCAGGCAGCATTTCTGAGTTTAAACAATGACTACCATCAGGCCAAGCTCTAGGGCCATTAATTCAGAGATTACACCCCTGTGCCTTTCCACTCATACACATATCACATATACATGTCCATGCAAATGGCCCAATTCAAGGCTTTTCTCAGTGTGGGTTTAACAGGCAGCCCCTTCTGGAAGTTGTCCTTAGTAGGTATACTTTCCTGTCCTTGATAATACTTTAACATCCCCCCATTCTTCTCAGAATTGTAAAATGTAGGGCAGTCCTTACTTAAACAGTCTAATTGTGAGTAGGGGGTTCACCTAAATAATTAAGATTATAAATTTCTTTTGCCTTGCTCTATATGGAACCCAGGACTTTATTCACTAGGTGTTTGGCGAGTGCTCCCCCAGTGAAGCACATCGACACATTACTATAAATTCTCCGGACCTCTGTCAACACCTATTATGAGTATGGAAATGTGAGGACATATTGAAAATTTATGAGATAGCTATAAATATTAAAAAGCCCAAAATTAAATAAATAAATAAATAAATAAGCATAAGTCTGAGGAGTTATGGCTTTGAGACCCTGCATCACAGATATTTATAAACTTCTGATCCTCCAGATCTGCTACTGGCAGGAATGAGACAAGGGACCCAGCTCACAACAGCTGAACCCTGCTCCAATCCACATCTGAGTCAGGGTCTCCCCAAGCCCCTTCCTCTCCCCAGATTGCTGGCAGTCTAAGGGCAGCAGGGAGTTTCCAAGACGGCATTGTGGGCTGGCGGTGTCACAGTGAGAACAGAGCTCTGGGGATCTAGAAGTAGTCTTGCCCCAGCAATGGCCAAAAGGGACAGAGAATGAGTCATTGCCAGTCCAGGAGGACCTCAGAGTCTGAAGCGAAGAGCAGAGACTCTAGCCACCATAGCGGGTTCTGACCACTTCTAACAGGATCGCACCCTGATTCCACCCCATTTCAGGGCTCCCATCCCACAGCGTTACCATTGCGTGGCTTTTGGGACTCCCAGGGTCTTTCCTAGGTAGACTGCAGCTAGCAGAAGCAACAGAAGGCGGAAATGCAAGCATTGTGTTCAGTACAGGCAGTTTGGTACCACGAAACCGGAAGAACCCGCCTACCTTGGCCCACCTGATTGGACAGTTCACACAGCCCGCCCCTTCATCACTGATTGGCTCCTGTTCTATTGCCTTCCCTGCGGGTCAAGAAAAAGGAAAGAAACAAACCCCTACCTGCAGGAGCAGATCCCAAATCAAAGAATGTAGTGCAGAGACTTCCCGAACAGGCAGTTTTCTACAATGTTGGCCTCACCACCCTGAGGGATACTTGGCATTTAAGGGCTTTACTTCTGGCTTTTCAGTGCTGTTCCTCTTGTGAGACCTAAAGTTTGGCTCCATTTTACAGTGAGGTGGCCTAAGACATAAATTCTAGTTCCTAGAAAAACCACAAGATGTACTTTGTCCACCTGCTTGTGATAGTGTTCAGCCGTCCCTTGGCAACAGATACCCCAATGTCCCAGGTGTAACCGTTTGCAGCTTGGGTGCGCAAGGCACAACCAATCAGGTTTAATTGCCAATCTAGAACCTTGCTGTAACTACTATAAAAACCCCTGCTGATTTGGAGTCAGGGCTCTCAATCTTGACCCGCTGCGTCAGTGACGGTTGGGAGTCCCTGCTCGGGCTTGAATAAACGACCCTCATGTGTTTACATCGGAATCGGCTCCTTGGTGGTCTTTGGGGACCTCGAAATCTGGGCACAACACTCTTTTTTAAAGGATTCAGCGGACACTTCCTGAAAATGGGTTGCACATGTCTTGAGAACGCCCAAGGGCCAGGGATTTAGCTTAGTGGCGTCCCCCCTGCCTGGCAAGTGCAAGGTCCTGAGTTCAATTACCAATA